CAAACTTTCCAACTTCTAGTTAATAAAATGCATTTTCATTGAGAAAATTTGAAAAATATGGAAAAGCACAAAGAAGAAAACTATCTGTGATCCCATCTTTCAAGGATAACTTCTGTTAACATGGTTACAGTTGTCACACTTACAAGTCTAATTCTGGTCAATATTTTATATATAGCAATGATCACCTTAGCACCCATTTATTTACTCTAAATTAACAGCTTTTTAATTCCAAGGCTAGGTGTTGATTCCAAGCACAGGTTTCCTATGCGTGGAAACCTATAATCTTATGAGATAAAAACACGTCACGTATTGACTAACCTTTGAAACTCCATCCTCAATGACTGCCTCTCTAACACCTTTCAATAAAACAAATCACAGGTTGATTGCTGATGATTAGCTTAACGAAAGTTCAAAGTTGTAGATTTCAACATCTTTGTCATTTGTGCCTACTAATCAAGCTCTGCTCTACTGAAGTTGTTTTTAAACTTTTAAAAGCAGAAGGATGCTTTGTTTTGAAATAAAATCTTGTATGAAACTCTAAAATATAAGCAAAACTAAGTTTTTATGGTTGAAGTCTATTTATATACGTATAAGTAAGTAGCACAAAGAGGTTTAATTGTATCTGACTAGCGTGTTCACAGCCAGTTCTGCTCAGCCTTCCAAATACCCAAATCATTATGCAGAACCCAAGGCTCTGTGATGCTGTTTGAAAACTTCACTGTTCTGTTATATGTCCTCAGTCAGTATTTTTAATGAATCAGTTGGTATTGCTTCTGTATCTCTTATGGCTCTTTGGACAATGCCTGACACACAGCAGGTATTAAAAAGTATTGACTGAAATTAAAGAAGGAAAATCCACAAAGGGGAAAAGATTGGCACATATCCATTACTAGTACTTCAAAACATCTCAGAAAGTATCCCCGCTGAGAGTACAGATCAGTAGTGTTAGATCCCACTGGTATCATACACAATTATGTTCTAAAACACAAAATTTTACAAGTATTTTTTTGACTGGGATTGTGTTAGTGGTTGCAGAATATAACAAAATATTGTTGAATACATATTAAATTTCTTCCATGTGGAAGACACTGTTCGAAGAGCTGTGGAGATTGCAAGATGGCAAAAATACTCTTTCCTTTAAAGAACACTTAATACTTGCTAGGTTCTGTGGCTTATGCCTGTAATCCTGGCAGTTTGAGAAACTGAAGCAGGAGGATCACTTGAAACCAGGAGTTTGAGAAAAGCCCGGGCAACATAGTGAAACCCCATTTCTACAAAAATAAACATTAATAAAAAGCAAGCCTGGCATGGTGGTGTGTGCCTGTAGTGCTAGCAACTGGGAAAGCTGAGTGGAAGGATTGTTTGAGCCCAGGGGTTCAAGGTTGCCATGAGCTCTGATTGTACCACTGCACCCCAGCATGTGTGACAGACCAATACCCTGTCTCAAAACAAATTAACAAAACTTAATACTCTAACAGGAGAGAAAATCTACATAAAATTCCTACAAAGCAAGCCAATGTGCCAGACAATATCAAGAAAATTTCAGTGTTTTTTTGAGCCAGAGGTAGGGAAATTTTGAAAGATGACCAATCTAACAAATAGCTCCATTAATACGAGGTCATTACAGAATGTAGAGGGAAATAATAGGTGCCAAAGGAAGGCAAAAATCTATGGAAACAAATATTTCATTCACTGCCTTCATCTTGAGAAAATAACACTCTCTCCAAGAAGAAAACATGACATAGAAGGTGGAGACAAGTTAAATGTGACTTGTAAATGTGAAGTTTTCACAATTGGTATGTAGAAATACCAAGAATAGAGAGATCAGTGTGAATTGTAGTGAAGGAAATTTTATGAAGTTGGCACTTTAAGTTGGGCCCCAAAGAATGAGTAGGATTTAGACAGGTGAGAAAGCAATCCCCAATGCTGGAAAAAATATACTATATTTCCAGTATAACAGGAAAAACATGCACCAAAGCCCAGAGGCCAAGAGAATAGCTTCCATGAGGAAAATGGAAGAAAGCACTCTGACTGGAGCAAAGAATGTTTCCTGGGTACCAGGTTGGCTGAGTAGAGTGCAGCCAGATTAATAGTGGGTATAAAGGTGGGAACTGCTAAGGCCAAGATAAAGATAAAAGGTGCAACCTAGTTAGGATGATAGTACAACTCTTTCTTTGTTAGAGCAGGGAGGGAACAGAGTCTTGCTCTGTCACCCAGGCTGAAGTGCAGTGGCACGATCACAGTTCAAGCAATCCTCCCAACTCAGCCTCCCGAGTAGCTGGGACTACAGGTGTAGCACTCAGCTAACTATTTTTTGTAGAGATGGGATTTTGTCATGTTGCTCAGGCTTGTCTTGAACACCTAGGCTCAAGCAATTCACCCACCTTGGCCTCCTGAAGTGCTGGGATTACAGGTGTGAACAACAGCGCCCAGCAGATAGTACAACTCTTAAACAAAGAAAACTATGGAAGATATACAAAGGAGTTAGAATGAAAGAGAACAGCTGAGGCACAGTGGCTCATGCCTGTAATCCCAGCACTTTGGGAGGCTGAGGCAGGCGGATCACCCGAGGTCAGGAGTTCAAGACCAGCCTGGCCAACATGGCGAAACTCTGTCTCTACTAAAAATATAAAAATTAGCCGCCGTGGTGGCAGGCACCTGTAATCCCAGCAACTCGGGAGGCTGAGGCAGGGAGAATCGCTTGACGCCATGAGGCGGAGGTTGCAGTGAGCCAAGATCACACCATTGCACTCCAGCCTGTGTGACAGAGCAAGACTCTGTCTCCAGAAAAAAAAAAAAGAGGTTGTAGTGAGCCAAGATCATGCCACTGCATTACAGCCTGGGCGACAACAGGGCAAGACTCTATTTAAAAAAAAAAAAGAATTTAAGAGAACAATGACAACAAAATGAATAAATAAAATGACCCTGAAGATGGAGAAGCAACCTGTGGTAGGGTTGTTGTTAGGACAGGTACTCAATTTGAAAAGGAAGAAAAGATGAAATTAAGATGAGAAAGAATAATTTAAGAGAAACACACATACTTCCAGATGAAAATTATAGTAACGAAATTCTCCACTGTTTGAGAGGTTGTTCTGTAAAATTAATTTAATTCCTAGGATGATCACAAGGATGCTTTATCACATGGACATACTGGTTTGAGAGCTGCATAAGAAAAATTTGCATTATCCCTTAGGTTAAAGCAAAATTCACCATCATCTCCCTCCTGAGAACTTATTGCACTTGAAGTTCAGAAGGTTTGTAACGTCTTCTTAAAAGCACTTAGCTGTCTTTGGCCTGATGGTTATAGCATTTTCATGCACCACCTTCTCCACCCCAGCCCAATCAGATTAATTTTGCTGACAGAATTATGGAAGTGTTGGCTCATGGTTACAGTGCAATGATTCAATCTGTAGTCCCTAGTGCATATTTTTCACTTGAACATGTGAGGTAGAAAGTTCAAGGTGGTTGGACAAGTGCAGAGGAGTAGATGATTGACAGTGAACCTGGATTTCTGTACAGTACTTTTTAAAATTTAAATTGCTTCGACAATGGCAAATGCCAATGGAGCAAGGTGGCTCATGCCAGTAATCCCAGCACTTTGGGAAGTCAAGGCAGAAGGATCACTTGAGGCTAGTAGTTCAAAACCAGCCACAACACACTCTAAACTCATTTTTGTAATGTGGAATAATCAACAATGAGTGGGACTCTTACAAGGTAAAGTCGGAAATAGAATCTTTCAACTGAATTTAGTTAAAATAACCCCTCCTTATTTGCATTAGTTACTCTTCCAAGTCTGACAGACGTTCCTGACTCAAGATCAGATTATACTATCAACATCTCCTCATGATGAGCATGTGGTTCTGGGCCAAGGACTAGTTTAAAACCACTTCAAGACCTGTTCAGTTTATGTCATGCTTATTCATCACTAATAATCTCAATAATTTTTTATCAATCCTACTTCAATAACTAGGAGTAATTGATCCTACCTTGTCAGCAAGAAGAACGCTTCCATCTCCGGTAGGGGCAATTGTTTACTTGCCTTTCCTAATTTTTGTAAAGATTCAATGCCACTTATGCCCAGGGTCTTTTTGTCTACTACCATCAGACAATCTGCATTACAGCACGCAATCTAATTATCAGGTAATGACCCTTTCATCCCAGAATCTACAAAGCATTTTTCTTGAAAGGTCATACACTATCTCTGTCTCTAAAACCTGGCAATTGATTTGGAGGCAAATTGGAGCAAGGCTAGGAAGCTATGGAACAGCTTTAAGACTGCTGGATTTGGAGTTAATTTTAGGCTTTATAATTTTTTTAGTAACCTTAGACAATTCACTCCTTTTGTGTTTCATTTTCTAATTCTATAAAATGCAGTACAGCCCCTTCAAAGAAGTTTTATGACGATTTAATGACTTTCTGTAAAAACACAACTACAGTCTTATCTCCATTTACTATGCACTAAGAGAACCACATATATCTGGGTGCCTATATTTTCTGAACAATTCAGGAATCATGTGAAAAGAAAGACAATATTTGAAATTGGACCCACTAGGTAAAATCCAGGCAGTATGGGTCATTTTCTTCCTGCTAGCATTCTATTCTTGCTGAGGCTCACACTCAAAGTCAAATAACCTTTGGATTATTCTTCCCCGCCCCTCTTCCCCCCAGACGGAGTCTCGCTCTGTCGCCCAGGCTGGAGTGCAACAGTGGCGCGATCTCGGCTCACTGCAACCTCCGCCTCCCGCGTTCAAGCGATTCTCCTGCCTCAGCCTCCCGAGTAGCTGGTATTACAGGCGCCCGCCACCACGCCCGGCTAATTTTTTTTTTTTTTTTTTTTTTTTTTTTTTTTTTTTTTAGTAGAGACGGGATTTCAGCATGGTGGCCTCGCTGGTCTCGAACTCCGTACCTCACGTGATCCGCCTGCCTCGGCCTCCCAAAATGCTGGGATTACAGGGGGCGTGGCCAGGTTATTCTTAAACCCACTCCCTTGAAGTACCTGCAAATACGTGCTGGTCTCTGGCCCTTTTGGAAACTCAGTCCTGTGCGTAGGACGTCCACCTCATAGGTGGTGTTTCAAATACTAAGTGTAAAATGCTAGAGACAGTACAAAACCCACCAGAGAGGTCCTTCCTAACACGTTGGCATAAGAATCCAAACGGAATACAGGGATAGGAGAGGTGACCTTGGGCAGTTCCAGGGAGGAGTCCATCACCTGACTGGAATGGGCCTTTCAGTGGGACGAGAGTGTATTTCTTCCAACGAAACCTGAATAACCACCTTGCGGCCTGGGACGCCGCGAGGCAGAAGTAGGCGGGCCCACTCACTTAGTGTCAAAGCGGAGGCCGCGCTTCCTGTCCGCTGTCACGTAGGCAGCGGAAAGCCGGGCCAGGCGCCTGCGCGCTGGGAAGGGTAGGCTCAGAGTGTTTTCCGGAACCCGGTGGGTGGCGGACTGCGCAGGCGGCCGGATTCCACTCAGTTTCCGGTCCGGCGAACACCAAAGTCCAGGAATCTAAGCATTTTCAGTTTCTGGGATTGTTAGGAAGCTGCAGAAGCGAGATGGAGGTGGACGCACCGGGTGTTGATGGTCGAGATGGTCTCCGGGAGCGGCGAGGCTTGAGCGAGGGAGCGGGGCAGAACCTCGATGTGCGGCCTCGGTCTGGGGCAAACGGGCTTCCCAAACACTCCTACTGGTTGGACCTCTGGCTCTTCATCCTTTTCGATGTGGTGGTGTTTCTCTTTGTGTATTTTTTGCCATGGTGAGTATCTTGAATGCAGAATTGGAGTGGTAAGGAGCTTAGAGATAATTTGCTCTCTTTTGGGCGGAGAGGGGACTGAATTCCAGAGTTTATATATGTCCAAGATTACGCAGCTGGTGAGTGGCGCAGTCGGGTGGGTGGGGGAGAAGGACTAGGAGTAAAATGTTCTTCTTTTGAACGTCCGTGGGAGTCTCCAAGGAAGTGTGGAGAAAACTTGGCGTCATATTTTCTCGTGATTTGGAGTGAAACCAGCTAGGCTTGAGTTCCTGCAGCACCGTGAAGCGACCGGAGAAGTTATTTCGCTTTTTGGAGCTTTATTTTTTCATTTACCATTTGGGACCGTTAGTGACCCAGGTCATAGGGGTGTAGTGAAGATTGAGATCGTAGTGATTTGCGTGTTGCCTGGCAGTAGTAAGTGCTCAGCGAAAGCTGTTTTTTACTATACAGCTGTTTTTTAACCATGAGCAGACTACGCAGCTATCTGAAACTTAACATGTCCAAAACTGAACTCTTAACAGCTTCTTACCCAAATTTACTTGCCTTGCAGTGTTCCCATCTCAGTAAACCCCAACTTTATCCACTGTTACCTCCCAGAAACCTGAGACACTTTGTCCTTTTCTTACACACATCCACATATCCTAAAACACCAAGTCACAAAATTCTGTAGTTTATTTGTAAAACCCATGCTCTCCATTTTCATCGCCACTCGCTCTGAAAAGACAATTCTGGCAGAGGATATTCTCTAAGAATAGGGCAGGAGGAAGCGGACACCAAATGGAGACGGTGATAAGAAACAAGCTAAAGAGAAGCAGTAAGATGAAAGAGGGCTCCTATGGGAGAAGAGCGGTGTAGCCCATCTAGACAGCTCTCCTGGACTTTGGAGTTGATTGTTCACTCACTGTTAACTCCTCTCAGTCACCATGCCTATGAGTTACTTCTGAAATTCTCACTTCTTGAGAGGCAGTCAATTTTCCCAACCCCCATCCTATATTTTCACCAAGAGTTGAGTGTCTTAAGCCTCGCTGTCTGATTTCTTGGATGGTGTGGTAACTTAGAGAAGACAGAGAGGGCCAGGCACAGTGGCTCACGCCTTTAGTCCCAGCTACTTGGGAGGCTGAAACAGGAGGATTGCTTGAGCTGGGGAGGTCGAGGCTTCAGTGAGCTGTGAACGTGCCACTATACTCGTCTGGGGGAACAAAACAAAACCCTGTCTCAAAAAAAACGGGGGTAGGGGAGCCAGAGGGATTAATGGGGAGGATGGCAAAAGGGATAGGGATTTGTATAAAATTATCGTCGAGCCATTTGTAAAGGGAGAGTTTTACTCTCCCTCCCTATTTTGGTAGAGACTAATAATCTCAAATACAGTGGGTTTTGTGTGTGTGTCTGTGTGTGTGTGTGTGTGTGTGTGTGTGTGTGTGTGTGTGTTTATGACCTGAATTTTCAGCTCTGGATAGAAAATAGAGGCCTTACAAGAAATGTTCCAGGCTTTTCTTTTTCTTTTGTCAATATGTAAATAGGCATAAATTGTTAAAAATTGGGAAGATAAAGCAAATATTGCTGACAAATACTTGCTTTTTACAGACTCGTTTGCTGATATCTAAATTAAGAAGTTGGTTCTTGAGTGAATTCTGAAAATGGCTACAAACTTCTTGAATAAAGAAGACAAGACTCTCAACAGAAGAATTTCACATCTCCAAGGGACCCTTCCTTTCATTTTACACTTTGTTTCTAATTTGCAGGACTCTATTAAATGGGTAGGATTTCACCCATTCCTAGCTAAGTTGTTAAAATTAAACCATTTGGTTCGTGTTTAAAAACTTTCCAACATCTAATGGCTTTACAGGGGCTGAATATAAAAGCATTTATACTTAAAGGTCTTGTGTATTCATTAACAAATATAGTAATGTCTTTTAATGTTTTAAGAGTTGATCAGGATTTAATACGATGCAAGTAATAGGGTGATTAATAAGGGAAGGTTTTTATGAATTCAAAAGCCAATTATTCAAAAGCAGGGAAAGATTTTGAGAGAGGGAACAAAGTATTCTTAGATTGCATAGAGGCTAAGTTCCAGTTTTAATTTTTAGGTTTAGTTGGACTCTGTTATGAAAAGATAGGTTATGGGTGGGTGACAGGTTGATACAGTTTTAGAAAAAGCAGGTAATATCAAAGTATTGGAAAGCTAGCATGCATGCCCTCTTACCTGGGTATCTTCCCCCTTTTTTCCTTTTAAATTCTTGAGCCTCCTAGAATGAAGGATTATGTGTTTCAAACCTATTTTTTATTACTGTTGTATTAAGTGTGCTTGTGCCCAAAACATTTATTTTTATAATATCTGTAACTTGCTTAAATACTTCAGCGAAGTCAGCATATTTACTCATTCAACAAATATTTGAGCCAGACATTATTTTAGACACAGCAGTGAACAGAACAAAAAGGCATTCTTGCCTTCACAGAGCTTACATTCTTACTGTTATTTAAATCTAAATGTTATAAAACAAGAATTTATATTCTGGGGTTGATCAGCTGGTATTTAATCAAAAAGGCCACACTCCCATAGCAGCTACTCTAAGCTGTAGTAGCTAATAAAAAATATTACTGTTGGCCAGGCGTAGTGGCTCACGCCTATAATCCCAGCACTTGGGGAGGCCAAGGGCAGTGGATCACTTGAGGTCAAGAGTTGTGAGACCAGCCTGGCCAACCTGGTGAAACCCTGTCTCTACTAAAAAATACAAAAAATTTAGCCGGGCATGTTGGCATGCACCTGTAGTTCCAGTTACTCGGGAGGCTGAGACACAAGAATTGCTTGAATCCGGGAGGTGGAGGTTGCAGTGAGCCAAGATGGGGCCACTGCACTCCAACCTGGGCAACAGAGACCCCGTCTCAAAAAGAAAATATTCTTGTTAGCCCTAAAGGCTTTACATGAGGAATGGTAAAAGTGGTCTCTTGTTTAAATTAGTTGCATTCAGTATATATGAATTGTCTTAAATATTTTGAGAATATTTCCTTCCCTTTTAAACAGGGAATAAGATCTGGTAAACTCTCTGTGTAAATCTTCCTACCTTTCAAAATGGTTCTTAGAGTTAGTCAAGTCTGGAATATAATTTCTGAGTATAAAGTTAGCAATCATGCCTTTAAGGTGTTGCTGCATCAACCTAAACAGAACCATCTATGGAAGGTATGGTTGAAACATCTGTGGGAACACAGAACTGGGATTTCACTGAGTTTACCAAATCATTTGTGTGAACTGTTTCTGCACTGCTTGCTAATGGTTTTGTCTAGTAAGTGTTTACTTATATAGCTGAGTTTGGTTTTATTGTAACAAATTATCTGGTAGTGAGATTGTGAGGTGATGAACAGTTCTCACATAGTTTACTGTTAGGTCACACACAGACTTCCGATCATAATCCATACTGTCTTTTTGAGCCTAAAATCAGCCTACTACCACAACTACCAGATACTCTGAAAATTTTTAGTATAGTGAAGATGAAGAGATCTTGGTGTGAAGGTTAATTTTATGTGTCATCTTGATTATGCTAGAAGATGCCTAGATTTCTGGGTTTGTCCATGAGGGTGTTTGCAGAAGAGATTAGCATTTGAATCAGTAGACCAAATAAAAAAGAGCCATCCACTCCACTGTGGGCATCATCCAATCCCATGAGGGCCTGGCTGGAATAAAAAGGCAGAGGAAGGGCAAATTCTGTCTTCTCTCTGCTTGAACTGGGACATCCATGTTCTATCCTTGGACATTGGTTCTCCTGATTCTCTGGCTTTCAGACATGGAGCAGGGCCCCTTGGTTCTCAGACCTTTGGACTTGGACGGGAACTGCACCATTGGCTTCCCTGGGCTTACTGTCTGCAGACAGCAGATGGTGGGACTTCTCAGCCTCCATAATCATGTGAGCCAATCCCTCATAATAAATTTATTTCTATATGTCTCTATATATATCCTGTTGATTCTCTTTCTATGGAGAACCCTGACTTAGTAATATGACATGACTGTAATTGGCAGTTTTTAAAATTGGTGGCAGTATGAAGTTTGAATCTTTCCTATAGATAAGAAATTGTACCTACGATTAAACTGCCATAGCAAGTATAGTGACTGCTTACATTACCCTCAGTTTGAAGGCTTTTAAGGAGTGGATAAATGGAACACCAAGAAGTTGCAAACTTGCTAACAAAACATAAAAAACGACATCAAAAGAAAATCAATGTGACTTTACTCTGATAAATTCTTTTGTAAATTCACACCATTTTATATAAGTGAAATGATTGTTTTAGTAGTTCCTTTTGAAATGAACTGGCTTATTAGCAGTTTCAAGGGATAGTTTTTAGGGGGCTTAACCTGAACGTTTCAGGATGTAAAGAGCTGCAAATACTGAGTCCATAAGTGGCATGGGAGTACATTTGGAGACTTCAGCCTGTGCGCTAAGAATGTTTTTTACATTTTAAAATGATTGGGGGGAAAAAAAGACTTTCATGACATGAAAGTTATATGCAATCTGGATTTCTATGTTGACAAAGTTTTACTGGAAAACAGCCATGCTCATTCATTTACATATTGTTTATGACTGCTTTCACATTACAAAGGCAGAGCTGAGTAGTTGTTACAGAAATATTATGGTCCACAAAGCCTACATTATTTTCTATCTTTATAGAAAGTTTGCCAACTCCTTTTCTAAGGAGCTGTGCTTTAGACCTTGCTGGAGTTTAACTCTTAGGATTTTTCCTGTGATAGATAACATTTCATGATCAGTGAAATTCCAAGTATCCATGACTTTACCCATAGTAATCCATGTTGGGGGGAGGGTGACGCACAGTTCATGAATGCAAAGAGAAGTCCAATCATATAAACTTAAAAATCAGTTTATCTTAAAATTTTTTTTGGATGAGAAGAAATTGATTTCACATGAAAATATAACATTGTGAAGGTAAGTATTTTAAACATTACAACTGTTGGCTGAATTATTTACAAAGTTATGAGCTTATATCTGGATGAAAATATCTATAAAAATAAATAGGCACCCTAGATGTAAAAATTTTACATGAAATAAAATGATTAGTATATATATATATCGATCTGTATTTGGAGTGTTAAATCAACAATAAATGGTCAGTTTCTAGTTTGTGTAGCAGTACATGAGTCAGGAGGTTTCAACTGGACAGTACTTAAAAGAGGCAAAACTGGACTTCTATTTGATGTCTACAACTCAACTGAGTTGAAAAGACAAATCTCTGAAACTGCTGTTAAATACAAAAATTAGTTTAAATGTTTCAAATAATACATTTCCAACTCACATCTTAACCAAATAGAAAAAAAAAAAAACTACACAAACTTTCTGACAGCTATTAAAAAACTTGAAGCCCATTTTTCTAGTATTTTACAGTGTTGTAAAAGCAGTAAAAACTTTGGTATTTCAAATACAGGTTTACAAACTTTATTTACAAACCCTCCATACTAAAAAATTATGTTAAAAATAAGTTTTCTTAAACGATAAAATTAATTTGGGATTCAAGTATTTCTAACTTATGAGAATATAAAGTAATGATCACTCACTATTATAGTTTAAAAAGGCTAGTAAAAACTATAGGTAGAAGATAAAATTGGGCCACGACTTGGTAACTGGTTAAACTTTTAGTTAGACTTTTATAAGCAATTATTTTCTGTTTATCTAACAATATTCACATTAAATTATTTACAACATTTTAGAATGTTTTAACACGATTTACGGAATCAGTCAAGTGGCTACATTTACTAGTTTATTGAATTATATTTATGAGGTTTATCCATTTAGGAATGTAAGGAAAACTTTTGTTCTGTTTCTCAGTTATCTGGAGTGAACATAAAACTATTCTAAACCACAATTAGTTTAACAGCATAGTACAAAATAAAATGACAACTAATGAAATAAGGCAATTAAAAGTAACTTATTTTTACTCGTAAGGTTACCATAATAATAAAAATTCCTTTAATTTTCAAAGCCCTCTTCATGAAAAGTAGCTGGGGTAAAATTACTATTTGTTCAAAGTAGATAAAAGGTAAGGATGCTTCAATTAAACATTTTATTAAAATTAAACTCTATATGAAAGGTAGAAATTTAATCTGGAAACATAGATTTTCAAATTCAGATAAAATGGGTTGACAACCTATAAGCAGGTAATATTACAGCAAAGAAAATGTAGGCAATGACAGTGACATACCAGTGGGGGCCCTACATTAATTCCTAACACTGCTGGTTAGCAGCCCAAAGTAAATCAAACCAAAATAAAGATCTTTCGTATTTCATACAAAATTAGAAGAAAGAGTAACGAGATAAATAAATATACTAAAGTTTAAGTATTTTAACTTTTTAATTTACATGGCTAAAGTAGTATTTATGAATACCTATAAATAGTCAAAGGCCTAATTTAGGTAGATACTCAAGACAAAAGTTCTAGGAGCAAAATTAAATTCTATCTGACCTTGAAAATTTACAAATTTTAATCATATAAGGCTTTTCTTTCCCCAAATGCTATCAAATTCACAAGTCATTTTTTTAAAGACACTTAAAGGGATCATATGCAGTGACTATCATAGAAGTCAAAAACAAATGGGTGAAGCCCTTTTCTGGTTACCCATTAGTGCTTCTTCATAAAGCAATTCTTTGACAAAAAAGTACCAGGCTATGTATCACCTGGTACTTTTCAATTAGCATAGTTTATAATCTCCACACATGAGTACTGGTTAGTTTCATGCTTCCCAGTCTACTGGCCACAAAATAGGGGGACAAATTTAATTTTTATTCAACTGTAGCATGTAACAAATGAATTATTATATCTCCCTGATTTTCTGTTTTTCACGGCATGCCAAGACTATTCAAAGGGAATTTCTTAAATATCTAATAAACTGATCATAAAATTAGATATGTGTATACACATATACATATGTATAGTGATTAACAACTTTAAAAATGCCACGGGCTTTAATTTTATGTATCACTAGGTTTGGTCAGTAGGTTCCTATTATATTTAAATGGCCTCTGAGAAGTAAAAGTTGGTCAATTTTACCAGTTATCTATTAGAATGTATGCTAGGTTTATATCTTTGTTCAGAAGGGCAGCTTGAACCAAGATTATTTTGTAACACAGATCCTAGTCCTTTTTCACTCTAAGATAGTGAATTATTACAAAAGCCACTGCTCTCTGGAAAAGCGAGCTTGGGCCTCTGATGGTATTTCAATCTATATGTATCTGTCATGCAGCTATCAACTGAAAAATAGGTAGTTAAGGAAACTGTCTCATTTGGACAGGTAGAAATAGAGTCTAGTTCTGGTTGGCAAAATCCATCAACGGCACCTGAGTTTGCCTGAAAATCATTAGTTGGGGAGTTGGACGGGCAGTTTGGTGTGTTGCCAAAACACTCTCTCACTTGAAATGTTTCTTTATGTCTTTCATCATTCACATGTGTACTCACTTCTAAACTTGGTTCTGAAGCTGTACTTAAACTGTGCTTCAGAAGATGAGAGGTAGCTTTAAACACCTCTGTAAGTTTGATATCAGGTGTAGATTCGCTTTTCTCTGACTGTGGCACAGTGGTTATAGCATATTTCTTTGGTGGCAAAGGGGGTGGTGGATTCTGGCAAAAAAGTTTTGGCATCTGACACCCATCAGATCTACCGGCTGACTGAATTATACATTCTGTGGATAGAGAGTTCTCAAAGTAACATTGATCCATGATATTTTGCTGCAGGATGAGAGGAGCAGTTGCTGGCTTTAACCCAACAGTTCTTAGGTGTGAAGACCATAATGAAGATGGTTCATTACTGTTCACTCTCTTCCCAGAAGCAGAGTTATCAACGCAAAACGGCAAACCTGTTCTCTCAGAATTTTCTATATTAAGCCACTCAGAAAATTTGCACTCATTTGGTTTTTCAAGTTTCTGTTCATCTGACTGGTGCACATGTTCTCTTGCATTATGGTCCTTGGGTATTTGTAGACTGGATGAAGGAAATAACTTTCCATTGTTTTCATGTACATGTGATCTGAAATATGAAAATAAAAACAAAGCTAGAACACCCTATGCAAATATGTGAAACTAGGGGAAAAAAAGTTTTGTAGTTTGATTTTCCCAAAATACAGTTTATATTATTTTTACAACAAAACCACAAAAATGGAAAGATGTTTGCAACCATTAACATTTTCAACTCTCTCCAAATCCAAACTCTTTCTGTCAGAATATGTGTTTACCAGAAACAGCCATCATTACCAGAATCCCATTTCTAATAATTAGAAATATAATTTTAAAAACTCACTTCAACTTGAAACACTAAAATTACATTTATTTGTAACAATATATAGAATTTGAGGAAAGTGTTAACAGTCAAACAGTACCCTAAAACATCTCCCCACCAACATTCTGAACTTTAAAGGCAACAGAGGTAGAAGTACTTAAATTTTGATATGTAGTAGTATAGTATATTACTTTATTTTATTTTGCTATGGCGAGGGTCTTGCTATGTTGCCTAGGATGGCTTTAAACCGGCCTCAAGTGATCCTGCTGCCTCAGCCTCCTCAGTAGCTAGGATTACAGACATGTACCACCATATCACACCTGGCCGTATACTAGTTTAAAATAATTTAATCAAGATTACCTTTAGGTAATAGTTATTTTCTAAGGTGAGGGTTAATGATACTACAAACTAAGCTTCAAATTTTCTCTTGGAAAGTATCACCTACCTCATAAGAATGCTGTGAGGATTGAAACAGACAATCAGATACTGTACCTGGTACTTTGTAAGCTCTCTATTCTTAGATCCACATTCTATTAACGATTCCCAATAAGAAAGGCATCTTAATACTGTAGACCCATTGCTTTCAAAGTAATAATATGTATTTATGCCCTTCTGATAAACAATGTGCCTATAATACATGTATTTAGGGAAAAAAATTATGGTTACCTTTTTATCAAATTATTTTTTATTTGTAAATGTGATTCTGGGTGGAATTCGTGAGATTTATAGTCTGCTTCCAAATTCCTGAGTTCTTTTCTAAAGCCTAGGGTTGGGTGGGGTGGGGAGAAGAGATGAGGAAAACAAAATCATTTAAATTATCTTACAGAATTTATTTCATTTATACTTTTCTATATTTACATAAAGCTTTCTATAAACAGGTAAACTCTTCCAATTAAAAAAAAATGAATTCTTGAAGACTCAATTCAAAATAGCAGTTCTTTTTTTAACGCTTTATGCAAAATTTCTTCAGTTTATTATCACTTGAGGGTGTCATCCGTGACAGAATAGTGCTATTCCTGCTGGGTCATGCAGATCGGTGTATGTGTTTCACCTGTTACTTGAGATGAGATCTTTACTGACCAAGTGTTAACAGTGAAAAAACCCTGCATTTGAAGATTGTTGGCTTGAGTTGAAGTTTGGACTCACTAATTATGGGTAGGTAAACAAGCCTCTTAACTTCTTAAAATTTCAGTTCCCTCACTTATATAATGTGATAATGATAATCCATTTTACCTACCTCATGGGAATATTAGGAATTTAAACTGAATTAAAATTGGTAGGAGGTTATTATGACAGCATATAAAATACACCACTACTAATTAGCTACCATTTATTGACTGTTTACTCAAGTTGTGAGAATGGATATTTCATTTAATCTTTACAATAACCTTAATAAGAAATGACTATCAACTTGATGTTACAGATGAGAAAACAGTAGCTTAGAAATGCTAAGTATATATATCCATATACTACAGAATTAGATCTTTATGACTCAAAAGTCCGTGCTCTTAACTAACATGATGCCATAATGCTTTCTAATAATTGATACTTAACTTCTCCCCTGGTTCTGACATTTAATAGGCACCAAATAGTTTTTGAATTTAATTTTAATGAAGTCTTACGAAAAAAGTTATACTAATTTACAGTGTGACTTTTGTTACTTCCAAGTGTGTTTATACTTCCAAGCCTGCTACATGGTAAGATTTCATATACCAATTAACCATTTTCTCTCTGTAATTATAGCTAGCTCTTGATTAGTGCCTAAAGGTCAATGTAGCACCAAATAAAATACAGCAGATCTATTTCCCTCTGAACGATTCTAGAAGAATTCACTGGAGAGCCTTTAACAATATTAATGTTCAGAGTAAAACATTATCTACATTTGGATTTCTCTCTACAAAACATGACCTTAACCAGCTATTGCCCTCTAGTCTTTAATATAATTAAATGAAATTAATGTCCAGACTACAGATAAAGTAGGCCCAACTGAACAAACAAAACCCTGAAAACTAAAAATTATTTTAAAAGGTAGAGATGAAGAAAAGGGAACTAAGACATTTGGATTTGTACAGGAGTTTACCTGAGACCATCTCAGTTTTTGATTCCCCCTTATGGGACAGCAGGTGCTTTATATCTGAGAACCTGAAGGTCTACAGGGGGCTTTTTCCTTTACTAAGGCACAAGGGGCCTGGGGCACCAATATACTGATAGAAAAGTCACAACCTCCAACGTATCAACAAAGCACAAAAGTATCTTTAATTACTTTGTGAACATCATCACCCGCTTATCGTAGAAATGAGTAGAAAACTGTATAAAATTATTTTAGTCATGTATCACCACAATGATGATAGCTACAGTTTATGGAATACCCAATATGTACCAAGTCTTCAGATTATTCTAGTTCAGCAATTCTTGAAGTGTGGCCTTGGAGCCCTGGAGGTCCCGAGACCCTTTCAGGTGGTCTATGAAGTCAAACTATTTTCATGATAATATTAAGATGTTACTTTTCTTTTTGACTGTGTTGCCATTTACACTGATGGTGCAAAAACAATAATGGATAAAACTGTTAGCATAATTCAAGGTAGTAATACTAAACTGTACTAACTGTATTCTTCATTGCCATATACTTGTGTGTGTATGTGTTTTTTTTAAGCCAGTTTTACTCAAAGAATGCTTGATAAAACAGTAACAATTATTTTATGAATTTACTTCTTTTGCACATCTTTTTATTATTCTATGTGAGGAAATGGGAACTATGCATAAAGCACTTTTGCTGTGGTAATACCAAGCATGACAGCAGTTTCAAGAAAAAGCATTTATAAGACTGTCTGAGCTGTCAGCTGAATTTAGCTGGTTTTTCACAGAACACCATTTTTACCTGAAAAGATACCAAACTTTGGTTATTCAGACTTGGGTACTGGCAGACCTTTTCTTAAAAATAAGTGAACCTCTCAATTCATGGAAAATAACTGGCAATATTTATTACCAATGATAAAATTCAGGCTTTGAAAAGAAAGTAAGAATTTTGGAAAACTTGTATCCACCACGAGTTTTGCAACTTCCCACTACTTACAAAGACTTTCTGCTAGTATCTATGGTGATACTAACAAAAATAGTTTTTAGAAAGATATTAGTGAAATGTATCAACACTTGGAAGCCCTGCATAACTTAGCAAACCAGTATTTTTTTTTTTTTTTTTTGAGACAGAGTTTTGCTCTTGTTGCCCAGGTTGTAGTGCAATGGCGCGATCTCGGCTCACTGCAACCTCCACCTCCCAGGATCAAGCAACAGTCCTGCTTCAGCCTCCTGGGTAGCTGGGATTTCAGCCATGCACCACCACGCCTGGCTAATTTTTTTATTTTTAGTAGAGATGGGGTTTCTCCAAATTGGTCAGGCTGGTCTCGAACTCCAAACCTCAGGTGATCCGCCTGCATCGGCCTCCCAAAGGGCTGGGATTACAGATGTCAGCCACCATGCCCGGCCACAAACCAGTAGTTTTTAAATGACCATACATGGATGTTACAAAATCATGCATGAGTAAAATATCCATTCAAAGTGCGAGACAAACTAATGTAACGGAGGATGAAAAGTTAAATACTATGGTTTCAGATTTCACACTGCATTAAAGAAACTACTACTTGGTGTAGTGTCAAAGAATATCCACAATTTTTAGGAAAAGCTATTAAAATATTCCCATTTCCAGCTGTATTATCTGTTTGTAAATGGGCTTTCTTCATACATGAAAACATCATAACAGTCTGAATGCCAAAACAAGAATCCAGCCATCTTATATGAAGCCAGGCATTAACTGAGATATGAAAGCATAAAACAATGCCATTCATCTCACTAAATTTTTGTTTTCAATAGTTAATTTTCCTTTAAAAATGTTATTTGTGTTAGCATGTACTGGGTTTATTATTTCTTAAAATGGATAAATATTTTGAAAGTTTCAATTTTAGTGCCTCATTTAGCAAATGCTGATAGACATAACCTATAGAAACAAAAGCTGTTTTAGGTCATAAATCCTTTTCTAAGATTATAAAGATATCTGAGGCCCAAAAGTTTGAAAACTACTGTTCTAGTTGGTAACAGTTGTCTTTTAAAACATCAGTCACAACTGTTCTGTAAAACAATTCCCCTTTTTACACTTGAGGAAACTTAGGCTCAGGAAAGTTAAGTGACCTAACCAATATTCTATATATCTGGTAAGCAGGAGCATTTAAACCAATTCAGGGTTCACTCCAAAGCTAGTGCTTGTGCCACTGCACTATGCCATTAATATACAAAGTCATTATACTAAATCTCCTTCTGATGAAACTAGGCCACTAGTGTGAACATCAAATAACATGCTGATGCCCATAGAAGATAGCAAAATATATGGCATTAGCATGAACTGTCAATTAATTGTCTACACTTCTGTAACATTTCTAGTAAGTTTTTCTGCATTCTCCTGTATTTTTAGTTGACATTTTCATCATGTTCATTCATCTCATTTTCCTCTCATTCTCCTGCTTCTACTTTACCATACACCAAATCTATGAAAGCTGCAAAGAAAACAAATCAAAGTTATTAAAGCAGTAATTTTATTTTTTAAACAATAAGTGTTCTTTATCTTAGATATTTTTTAGGTATTGCCCTATAGGGGGAAAAGAATCTATATTTGATTATGATCAAGCTCTGCAAGTTAAATCTTAGAAGCAATTTCCAAGAAAGAGTCATTTAATATACATGAGAATTTAATACCCTCTATGCCAATATTGCTCATATAGTAAATAATAAAAACTTAAGATAGTAGAATGAGAGGAACTATAAGTCTGGCATTGATTTAAGATTTAACACTTTTACTTCCACTAAATTGCAGTAAGCGCTCTGATTATGTATGTGCCTAAAAAAAAAAAATTCCCCAGAAGTTAGCACAGTATCTAGCACACAAAAGACATTCAAATGAAGGTCTGCAGAATAAACAATTGCCTCAAAAACACACTGTTTTACTTTTTTTAAAGTCACCTCCCTCCTGCCCATCATGTTCCCAACTCAGTGGTGCAGGAAAAGTAAAGTATGAATTGATAAAATCTTATCTTTCCCTCGCACTTATCTCAAGTCTATAGGTGCTATACTCATAGCACTTTTAAAAAGCAGTAAAATTTATCCCAGAGTCTCTCTAGAAGGAATATATTATTTTTCATGTTTAAGAAAATCACTGTGGGTAAGCCTGACACACTACCTGAGGCTCGAAAACTCTGCCAGCCTTTTCAACAGCTATTTTATGATTTTAAAAAGATGTGACAAGAAATAAGATGTCAAAAAGAACCTCAATAATTTGTCAATGTTTAAAACTTAATTTTTAAGTTGTAATTTGCTACCCAGTGTGATTTTTAACTTCATACTATTAGCCAATTCATAATTTATTCACCAATTCATAATTTCAAGTTTAATGTTCACAAAACAAGAAACAAGTTTATTTAGTTCTTAAGTAATTCTTTACTTTTATAAATTATTCACACAATGGGCAGCAGGAGGCAGCAGAGGTTTTATTAGCATGTTTGAAATTTTAATATCACTGTGGCAGGCATTCAACAAAGTGGTTTCACTTCAGAATTCCAACTAACTTAAAAATAGATATGTTATTTTTCTCTTCTGCTGACAAGACATCCATGTGTCTTTGTGAGGAATTTTGGCTCCAGGTTATTCACAAATCTAAGACAGTTCAATTTTAACACTTTGACACAGGAAAAAAACCCTCAGTATCAAGGCAAGAAACTT